GGGCAAGGCGGCTGGGGGCAGCCCCTTCCCGGGCTCCTTACTCGTGCCCTGAGCCCTTCCACCCGCTCTGAGTCAGTGCCCGGCACGCAGGAAGGTCTTTCTTGCCTTTTCCATTCCTAATTAACTTTATATCCATCGCAAAGAGAAGCACGGACAGACGAACTCCTGTGCTGGTCCTGGCTGAGTCTGGTGCTGACCTGAGCCTGCAGATCTGGTGGGAATTAGGTGCTGCAAGGAGGTAAAACAGATTAGCGCCCAGGGAGGGAAATCCCTTGCCCACAGGGCAAATCCAAAGCGACAGCGCTTTGCAAAGCAGCAGAGACCCAGCGCGTCGTCGCCGCTCCCAAACGGCAGCCGGGCGTGCGGCGATCTCGCTGGCCCTGCCGCCGGTGATTTGGGTGGGAAACCAGTGATTTTGGGAGTATGGGTCTGCCAAACGCTGCGTGGTTTGCTGCAGGGATTCGGGTGCCTGGACAGACTCCCGCGGGGCTCGCCAGGAGAGCTGTCCCCAGCCAGGCTGCTCCATGCCGGGGAGCGGGGGTCCTCGCAGCAGGGAGCGGCCGCAGGGACCCCCGTGCTGGCACGCACTCCCCGTCAAGCTGCTATTGCTGATTTTGTCCTCTGCTTCCTCGGCACCTGGGGATCCCAGGGCTTAGCACACTAAGAGGTTTTAGGGTATTACACATCCTGCTGCGGCACCAGCATCCCATCACCATCTGCATCCCATCCCGGACCGCGCAGCAATCCCGTCTCCCCTTGGCACCGGTGCGGGCCGAGCTGTCGGCAGCGTTGGGCTGGATGGGAAACAGCCTCCCCGGGAAGCTGGGACGCTTGCCACGGGGTTGGGTAAAGCCTTAGGAAGGACGGCTGCAGGGACCTGCTCTGCCCAAGTTGCAGGCCAGCTCGACGCGGTGGAGGGTCTGCCTCTCGCTCGTGCCCTTCATCTTCACACGCGTCACTGCCCCAAGGGACTTAGAGACCCCCTCCTCCTCCTCCTCCTCCTCCTGTCCCCTCCAGCTCTGGTGCCGGGGATGCTCTGGGATAGTCGGGACGTGGCTCCTTTCTCGCAGGGTCCGCCCAAACCCAAATCTCTGCAGCAGCCGAGACCCACGGGCGCGTGTTGGGGGAGCACGCGCTGCCCTCCCGCGCCGATACAGAACCGCACGCGCCGTCCTGCAGAGCCGCAGGGCATCTTCCTCGCTGCCCAAACAGGCAGGCAAAACTGGAATGGATATGCTTTTGTTCTTTTTCTTTCAGTAAGTGAAGTAATTGCTTCTTCTCCCTCCGTTTTGAAGTGACGCGAGTACTTTGAAACACTGACAGAAAATTTTAATCCTTACAAGAAATCAGTTATGGGATTCCAAGCTAATGAAAAGATTGTTTCCTGGAAGATCTTCTGCTAGACTTGGATCAGCTGAGGCTTTTCGCTCCTTCGCACGGCAGCTGGATTGAATCAGCGTCATTCCTCTCAGACTCAGCCTGCTGCTGAAGTGTTTGCTGGCTTTGGTATCACCCGTAGGCAGATGCACCACCTCGCGCCGACGCTGCGGCCAGCCCTCCCTCCCCGGGCCCCGTCCACGCTGCCAAACTCGCCAGGTGACATCCAGCATCCCAGACAAACCCAGGGCTGTGCCTGGCACCCTACGGACACGTTGCTGGATCAGTCGGAAGGGAAAAAATGGCTTTTTCACCACGGCCTCTACCAGGAGCGCGGTGCCTCGGGCTGCACCCCGGGACAGCTCTGCCCCGGCAACGTGTCGGCTGCATTTCTCTCTCTTGGGTGCTGGTTTGGTGCGTCGTGGGCTGAGAACGTACCAGGGAGAAAAAGATCCCCTTCCTGAAACCCAACCTCACCGCCTGCCGCCGCGTCTCCTGACCAAGCCAGCTCATCTCCTCTGGGTGCCGCAGCACCCC